GAGCTGAGCTGTTCTCCTGGATGCTCTGGAGGGCAAAGGCCTGAGCCCTTTCCATCTGACTCCTCTGAGCATGGGGCTCACTGGGTGCCAGGCTCTGGCTAAGCCCATCCATGAACCATCTCCCCAACTGGTCCCAGGCTGGGAAGTCCATGAGACCCTCCGTCTCCTGGCTGGGTAAACCCTCATTGTGAGTGCCACAAAGGTATCTAAACAAGGAGGCGGTGCAAAGCAGACACCCCAGCACTGCTGGGCAACACGCTGCACAGCCACTTGGGGTAGCAATTAGTCAACGTCTAGGAAAGAGGGTTAGCAACGATTGTGAGGGTTAGCAACGACCATGCAGTGCTTCATTCCACTGTACATGGGGTCGGTCTGACTCGGAACCGACTCGATGGCACCTAACAACAACAGGAAAGGGGGACGATACGATCCAGCATATCCACTGTAAGGTATGTGCCCCAGACTCTGGCCCCAGTACTCAGAAAATAGATCCTAGAACATTCATCACAGTCCCAGATGAGAAACCACCTAAAAGGCCACCAAAAGGAGAATGGATTAATTCCTGTGTGGTACAATCACAAAAACAAACACGCAACAGCAGGGAACACAAATGGCTTGTCTTAGCCTTATACACCTCCCCATTGAGCAATAGCTTAACTAGTGTTGTTGTTGTTGTTGTTATGTGCCGTCGAGTCGGACCCAACTCATAGCGACCCCTCCTTGGGTTTCCAAAGCAGTACCACTACAGAATAGATTGCCCCATCTTCCTTCCGAGGAGTGGCTGGTGGGTTTGAACCGCCAGCCTTCTGGTTAGCAGTCAAGTGCCTTAGCAAAAAAAAAAAAAAAAAGCAAGTTGCAAAAGGGCATGTTTACCACCACAGCATCTATGTTAACTGTGAAAGAGTGCTGATCAGCCCTGGCGGGACATGAGCATCACCTGGGGAGCTTTCAAAGTACTGATGCCTGAGCCCTGCCCAGACCAAAGGAATCTGAATCCCTAGGCCCAGGTCCTGGGCAACAGCATTTTTCAAAGCTTTCTAGATGATTCCAACATGTCACCAGGTTTGAGGCCTATTGCTTTAGTGTTTATGAACGTATTCAAAGACAGAGAAAAGCATGAATGACAACCTGCAGAATGACAAGTCCCAACTCCAGGGCATGGCCACCACTGGAAGGGAGGGGGGAAAGGAAGTGGAAAAGACTCTCAGTGTGTAAACACCTCACAGGTGTCCTGTCCCAAGCCGGATGGTGGACGTGTCAGTCTTTTGTTATATTCAATGTGCTACTTTCTTACTAGCCTAAAATGTATCATAAGGGACAAAACTGGCAAATAAGAAACCAGTTGCCCAAGGTCCCATGGCTGGTAAGTGACAGGGCAGGGATATGAACACGGGTCTCCAATGCCAAAGCCTTATCCCTCCTTGCCTGGCCCAAGCCCCAAGATGCTGAGCAAACTGGCACAGGTGGTTCCGAGGATGGGCCAACCTCGCAGGGCTAGCTGGTGGCCTGCTTGCTCAATGACTGCCAGAACCAGTGGAGGGGGTGCTGCTAGAGGACGTCAGGAGGCATCTGGCCCCTCGGTGGCCCCTTCTCATCTCCATGGTGATCGCCAGACCTAGATCTGCCTTTGGAAACTACACCTACCCAACTCTCAGACCACATGGTTTGGCTGGAGCACTTCACTCCCTGCCTACCCGAGTCCGTCCCAGGAGCTAGTACTGGGGCCACTGGAGAAAGGGTACTGGTCAGCTGAGCCGAGAGAGAGAGTCAGGCAGACTCTGGAGAATTCTTCTGATGCCTGGATCCAACTCCACCTGAAGCTATCACCCAGCAACGCCCTTTTTGCTTGAGCCAGTTTAAGCTGGGTTTTCTATCACCTATACACACAGCAGTCTGGACTGAGATAGCTCCTCACTGCTGGGGCTTCCCAAGGAGACCCCTGCTCACTACCCTTGAACAGTACTGTTACTCGGATCCACAAGCCTTCTCCCTTTCCCGGCTTCTTGCCTTCTGGCCTTTCCTCCCTACCTGCCTCATGGCAGGCAGGGGGTCTGAAATGGGCACACATAACCTCATCTCCCTCCAAACAGAGAGACGGACAGAGAAACAAGGCATTCAGTCTGCCTCAAGAAGAGGACCACCCTTCCCAGGTGGTGGTGGAAACAGCAGGAGCAGCAACAGCCCAGAGGCCAATGCTTACACAGTGGCTGCCGTGTGCCAAGCGCGGGCCAAGCCCTTCACACAGACCAACACCCTGAAGCCTCACAGCAACTCTATCAGGTAGCCATGATCATGAGCCCCATGTGGGAGAGAAGGAAACTGAGGCACAGAAGTTAAGCAACTTGCCCACAGACACACAGCCTGTGTGGATGGAGCTGGGGGTGAACACAGCATCGCTATCCCACCCCCCTTTCTGAACCACTGTCCGGTACCCCACACAGAGCGGCTACTCTTCCTGAACTCCCTACCCACCCCCACTGTACTGCCCTCCAAGGCTGAGCACCCCAGGGGGCTCACCCTGACCCTACGCAGGCTATATGCTGCGACAGGCCCCAATTCTGCACCCATCCCCTGACCCCACTCCCACACAGGCCACATGCACACACTTCCCTATGCCTGGTGCACCCTTCCCCATCCCTCCTACTCATCTTTCAGAGGTTCCCCAGGGGACTTTCTCAGGGACATGTACGCATTTAGAGCACAACCTGGCACCTGTTTTTACAAGTGTTAGCTATCAAGCAGGGCTCCTCTTCCCACCAGGAAACACCTTTGACCTCTCTTCTGAATGTCCCCCTCCCTCCCAGGGTATGAACATGCCCTCACAGGCTACACCACTGTTTGTAAAGATGAAACCAAGTGTTGCTGGGTGAGAGTCTGGCACCAGTCTGCTCTCAACGGGGGACACTAAGAACACTCTGAGACCAGAGACTCCGCCAAGCTTGTCCACTGGGCAGTCCCAGCACCTTCTACCACCAGTTACAGAGCATCCTGTGTGTGCCAGGCACAGCTTCAAGTGGGGATTCAAGAGAGGAACAAGACAGAAAAAGTCCCTGCCCTCCCGGGGCACACAGTCTAGCAGGGACAACCAGTCTGACCTAACACACAAAATAAGGAAACAGTGAACGGCTGAGAAGAAAACAAGACACATGAGATACAGGGTGCCTGAGGGTGGGCATCTGGGTGGGCAGGGCAGGCTGTGAGCCAGTGAGACATGAGAGGAGGCAGGGTGGGGAAAGGACTCCAGGCAGAGGGAAAAGGAAGCTCAAAGACCTGGCGAAGCCATAGCCTGCAGAGTCAAAGAACAGCAAAGAGGCTGGGGAGGCTGGACGGTGGGAAGCGCCTGGGAGGGCTGTCGGAAATGAGGTGGATGAGGTGGGCGTGACTGAGGGCCACAGTGAGCGTGAGGCTTTAAGAACACAGAGCATCTGACTTTGCACAGGGCACCACCCAGGGACGTGGCTCCCAACCAGACGCCCATCAGGCACATTTGGACCATTCCAGCTGCTCTCCCCACCTCCAGGCCACCCACAAACACCCACTTCTGCCCCCTACAGGTCCATGGGAATTGCTCCTCCCAGATCACACCCTGCCACTGAGGCCACAGACAATTCGTTCCTGGCTAGGGAGTGGTCCAGCCTTGCCCAGCTCGCTGCTCCACAAACAGATCTGCAGGCAGTCTACGAGGTGGCAGCGTGGCACCGGGGGGCAGGCATTCTGGAATCATCCAGACTAAAATTCGAATCAGCCTTTGCCCCTCAGCAGAAGCCCTCTGACGCTCACTCTCACTACCGTGAAACATCAGAGTACTAATGCCTACTTCACAAGATTGTAGTAGGGATGAAACGAGGTCAGGCACACAAGGTACCGAATACAGTGCTTGACAGAAAGTTACCCAAACCCAAACCCAATGCCACCCAGTCAATTCTGACTCATAGCAACCTGGTAGGACACAGCTGGGGTTTTCCAGGCTGTCAATCTTTACAGAAGCAAAGCTGGAACCAAACACACTGCCCTATAGTCGATTCCGACTCACAGCGCCCCTAGAGGACAGAGTGCAACTGCGCTGTAAATCTTTCCGGGCGCAGACTGCCTCATCTTTCTCCTGCCGAGCAGCTGCTGGGTTCAAACCTCAGACCTTTTGGTTAGCAGCCAAGCGCTTAACCACTGCACCACCAGGCTTCCTTGACACATTAAACATTAACCAACAGTACGATTATTTGAGAGGCAGCAGAGCATAAAAGATACTGTGGGGCCAGAACTCCAGAGTTCGAATCCCAGCTCCACAATTCATTAGGTGGCTTTGAGCAAATCATTTAACTCTGCTGGACCCTCAGTTTCCTCATCTTAAAATGGGAATAATAACCCCAAACCCACAGGGTTGTAGTTAGGAATAAGTGAGTGACTACATGCAAAGCATTCAGAACAGAACCTGGCACCTAGTAAGTGCTTCGTGAGTGTTTGCTATTACCACTATTTGTGGGAGAGGGATCCCCTTCCCACCTTTGATCTCCCTCCTCTCCATATGCCCCCCCAGCGTTTTAACTTTTAACAATCTGTCAGCCCTGCAGATTCTGACCTTTGCATCTTCTGGCCAGATCCCACCTTCGATCTCATGAAAGACGCCCCCCAACCTAAATCTCATTCATCTGCTCCAATTCGTCACCCCCACAGGTCTGATTTCTGACCCTCGCAGCCGCATCATCTCAAATCGTAACTCTGACCTCTTTTTTGAAACTCACCGACCCCCCTCGAACGTGCCCCCACTTCAAATTTCAAACTTTGCGCTCCCCTTCGCCACGCCCCCTTTACTACAGTTTGACCTCCGCCCTCCCTTACACTTCCCTCCCCTCAGCGATGACCCTCGACCCCTCCGACGCGACCCTTCCCTCCAAGCGTGAACTTTGACCCCGGCGGACCCGCCCCCCTACTCTCACAAAGGTTCCCCCACAGCTCAGCTCCGTCCGTCCCACCCCAATCTCTGCCTGGACCGTTTATCCGACCTATTCAGCCTCGTAATCGTTCGCGGCCTACCTGCTCGGCCTGGAACTCCGCGCCCTCGCGCTGCCCTCAGCTCTCTTGCGCCGCCGCCACCGCGGCCAATGCCGCCGCCATGTTGAATACCCAACGAACATCCGGGGCTTTCCCCCCCCCTCGCCGCCCACCAGTCCCCATAGCAACGGGGCCGAACGGGCAGGGGGCAGGGCCCTTGTAGGGGCGGAGCTGGGAGCCAGGCAGGGCCCGCTCCGGCTTCTGATTGGTGAAGATTGTCCAATTGGAGGTCTGCAGGCCGAAAATGCCAAGCGGGGATTGGAAAATTTGGAAAGTGTGGCTGGCCCCGGGCCCAGCCTGATTCTTAAAGGGGAAATAACTGTTTTATAATACCCATCCCGTCTTTCCCCAAAAGAGAGGGTGGAAGACGGTGATAGATAATTATTGCTAGAAACAGCTCTTGAGCACTTGAGCTAGAGCTCTTGAGCACTATGTGGCAGGCACCAGGCTAAGTGCTTGAATTGCTTTGTCGCACTGAATACTCACAACAACCCTATTATATTAATATTACCTATTTTACGCATAAATAAACTGAGGCTCCAATCCTTCCAAACCTACTGCTGTCCAATAGATTCCACTCATAACGATCCTATGGGACAGAGTAGAACTACTACGTAGGGTTTCCAAAGCAATCTACTTCCGTAGTGATACTGCCTCGGAAACCCAAGGAGGGGTCGCTATGAGTCAGGTCCAACTCGACAGCACATAACACAACAACAACAATCTTTACGGAAGCTGACTGCCACTTCTCCCGCGCAGCCACTGGTAGATTTGAAGTCGGTTAAGCTGAGCACCTACCCACTGCGGCACCAGGGCTTCTTATCTGAGGCTCAGAAGGATGAGTTAGCTGAGTAAGGATCACAGGAAGCGTATGATGAATTTTGAACTATGGTCTGTCTGAGCCAAAGAACCTGACTCGGGAACCAAGAGGCTATTTGAACTTTTTTTTTTTTCTTTATTTAAATACGTTTCTTAAAAATAACTAATTGGTCCAAAAGAATTGGAAAATACCAAAAATGTATAAAGTAAACTCAGACATCCTATTCTGAGATCTGACCCTCTGGGCGTCAGCCTCCTTACTCTCCTTGGAAATTATCAGGTACTCTTCACCTCAGAACCTTTCATTGGCTGTTCCTTCTGCCAGGAACACCCTCTTCTCCGAGGTATCCTCATGGCTCCCTCCCTCCCCTTTTGCAGGGATTGGCTCAAATGCCACCTTCTCAGTGAGACTGTCCCTGACCACCCTCTCTAAAATGGCAAACATCCCCCTCACGTGCTGCCCAACCCCTTGTCTGCCTTTTCTTATTCTCAGTTGCCTTGATCACCTCCTAACATACTGGATACTTAGCTAATTGCATTTATTGTTAATTGGTCGTTTCCCCAGCTAGAGTCAGCTCCATGAGATCACAGGATTTTTGCCTGTTTTGTTCTCAAGTGACAAGAACGATTCCCTGGCGCTCTTGGCATGTAGATGCTCAATAAACATTTGCTGAATGGACGGTTGGATGAGTTGTTACTCCACCCCATCAGAGGTCTCTCTGTGCCATCCTGCCATCCTCACCAGCTGCACACGGCCCGGTACCTTTCCTTCCTTTGCACAAGGAATCACTACGGGATCTGCCTATACATGGTCTTGGGCACGCTCCCCACTTCATAGATATGCCTAATAGTTCAGCCTGTCCACCCATCTATCCACCCGTATACCCATGTTTGCCTTCACTGACAATGCAGTACTGTATGTGCAAAAGGGTTCATCTTTGTTGTCTGTACCTCCCATGTACCTATGTCTTCCTCTTCCTCAATGCCACCATGTTGATCACTCGCATTTAGTACATTACCCTTCTCTTCACCCAAATCAATACTTACCTCTACCTAACAGGGTTCCCTCCCCTCCTCCCTCCGTAACCAACAAAGAAAACTTCCTTCCATAGATAAACCTTTCCTTGACTTTTACAATAATGGACTACTACAGTAGTTGTCCTTCTGTGATTGGCTTATTTCACTCAACATAATGTTCTCCAACTTCATTCACGTTATGTGGTGTTTTGCAGATTCTACATTATTCTTTA